CCCAAAGTCCTGGGATTACAGGCGTGAGCCACTGCGCTCAGCCTCAATATACTTCTATTGCACAAGCACCTACTATGTGCTTGACACTGGGAACTCAAAAGAGAGAAAAACTGGACAGGCGTGGTGACTTATGACTATAATCTCAGCACTTTGGGAGGATGAGTTAAGAGGATTGCCTGAGTCCACGGGTTCGAGACCAGTCTGGACAACTTGGCAAGACCCCGTCTCTACAATAAACCAGAAAACTAGCTGGGCTTGATGACTTGTCTGTAGTTCCAGCTACTTGGAAGGCTGAGGTGGAAGGATCGCCTGAGACCCGCAGGTCAAGGCTGCTGTGGCTGTGAGCGTGCCAGTGCACTCCAGCCTGGGCGACAGAGTGAGACTCTGACTCAAAAAAAGAGAGAAAAATACCTGAAGGTTCTGGACTGCCAGCTGGGATTCCTTGTGCCTGGATGGTACTTGCCCGCTTCCCAGGGCCAGGTCACGCCCATACCTAACGCCCGGCTCCACGTGGTCACCAGCAGCCTCCCTTCACTCAGGCCGCTCTCCTCCACAGTGCTCCACCGAGTGTGGGACTGGAATCCAGCGCCGTTCGGTGGTCTGCCTGGGGAGCGGGGCCGCCCTCGGGGTGGCCCAGGAGGAAGGAGTGGGACCCGGTGAGCAGAGCTGTCCACCAGGAAGCCGCCCCCCCGACATGCGTGCCTGCAGCTTGGGGCCCTGTGAGATGACACGGTGCTGGTACACGGGACCCTGGGGCGAGGTGAGAGCCGGGAGGGGGCCGGGTGGCTGCGGGCTCAGCGGGACCCCGCGTGGCACTTGGGAGCCGTGTCTGTTCTCCTCGCCCCTCCCTCATGCCCTCCCCTTCCCCTGCACCAGTGCTCCTCGGAGTGTGGCTCGGGCACTCAGCGGAGAGACATCATCTGCGTGACCAAGCTGGGGACTGAGTTCAACGTGACTTCTCCCAGCAACTGTTCCCACCTCCCCAGGCCCCCCACCCTGCAACCCTGTCAGGGCCAGGTCTGCCAGGACCGGTGGTTTTCTACACCCTGGAGTCCGGTGAGTGCCTGGCTCCCAAGCCCTCTCTGCCTAGGCCTCCAGGGAAGGGTGGGCTCCTCCCACTGTACCCCCCAGGGTCTCTCTGTGCCCCCGATAAGCCCAGCTGAGGTTTTTTTGTTTGTTTGTTTGTTTTGAGTTGGAGTCTCTTTTTTTTTATTTTTATTTTTGAGTTGGACTCTAACTCTGTCACCCAGATTGGAGTACAGTGGCCGCACCCGGCCACCGCAGCCTCTACCTGCTGGGCTCCGGCGATCCTTCCGCCTCAGCCTTCCAAGTAGCTGGAACTACAGGCACGCACTACCATGCCCAGCTAATTTTTTGATTTTATTGTAGAGATGAGGTCTCGCCAAATTGCCCAGGCGGGTCTTGAACCCGCGGGCTCAGTCAATCCACTCACCTCAGCCTCCCAAAGGCGCGGGATTGTAGGCTGAGCCACCGAGCCCGGCGGGTTTCTTCCTTTGTGGGCATCACCGAGCTCCAGGCTCCGTGCAGGCCCTGCTAGTGAACCACAGGGAGCACTTACCCCATCTGGTGAAGCTTCCTTTTTTTTCACTCTTATTTTTTAAAATCTCAGAGCCTTTACAGAAATATTTGAGACCAGGAGTTCGAGACCAGCCTAGGCAGCATAGAAAGAGCCAGTCTCTATTAAAAAAAAAACTAGCTGGGTGTGGTGGTGCATGCCCATGGTTTCAGTATCTGGCTGAAGTGGGAGGGTCACTTGAGCTTAGGAGATTGAGGCTGCTGTGAGTCAGGATTGCACCAATGCGCTGCAGCCTAGATGGCAGAGCAAGGCCCTGTTTCCAAAAACAAAGAACTTCAGGGCCTTTAAACCTTGGGTTAACCATGCAGCCCAGTTCATAGTACACAAGGTCTATGATCGACCTGCGGCCTCTTTCTTCATTAATTGATTTCTCCACCTCCCTTCCTCCTTCCCCTTCCTGGCACCCATTCTAGTGTGCATAAAGCGTGTCCGTTTCTTATAACACAGGTGCTGCTCTTCTGCATGCCCGTGGGTCCCTCTGTACACCTGCAGTCGGGCTGCCCAAGCTCATCCTGCCTCTCACTTTTTCACTCTGTGCCACGCTGTGCAGACCTGCCTGTGTTGCCTGCTGTGCCTCTGGTCCTTGCTTCTTACTACTGCACTGTCCTGTCCGTTGCCCGGAGTGCAGTGGCGACTTGTCACCCAGCCACCCCCGCTAGTGATGGACACCCAGGTGACCCCCACTACCTGTCACCACAGAGAGCTCAGCAGTGAGCATCCTCAGAGGGCCCCCTGTGCAGCTGGGAGAGTCTTTGGGATGCGTGGACCTAAGCCCGAAGCTGCCGGGCCATGGGATCCACACATCCTTCCGTGTTCCAGGGATCCCAGGCTGCTCTCCAAGTGGCCGCACCAGTCTACGCTCCCAACACTTGGCATTTCCCGACTCTCTAATTTTTGCCAGCTGGACAGTATCAAGTGACACTCTGTTGTTTTAATTTTGGAGCTTACATCTTAGTACCATTGACTGGCTATGTCACTTTAGGCAAGTCATAGTGACCCGGTGAGGTAGATGCTATATCAATAAAATGCAGTCGCTTCCACAACTCAGAGAGGCTGAGTAACTTTTGCAAGGTCACACAGTTAGTGTAGATCTGGGATTTGAACCCACAGGCTGTACCCTTAACCATTATGCTATCATTGTCAGGTTCTCTCTCTTCTAAAGTATTGTTGGGGTCTCCACTGCTAGCAGCTTGACAGGGACTGTGTTGTGAACTGCTTTGGGGCCCCTGGAGAACTGAGGCCGGGGACTTTCTTGTAGGAAGCGGTCTTTAAGTCATTGTTTTACAGATGTGGCAGATTTTAGATAAACTCTGTCTTGGAGTTTATCTAAGGACTGCAGGGTGCATGAGGAAAAGGGGATGGGTCTGAACTCGTGTCCCCACAGAGGTGGGGTCTGGGGTCTGTTCTCGGTAGATAAGCCACCCTGGGTTCCCGGCCTCTCGCTGCCAACTTGGCTCCGGAAACAGCTTGCTGGGGGGTTGGGGAGCAGGGTGGTGTTGGGGACACCTTGAGGGACAAGCAGGGGAAGATCAAACGGCACTGAGGAGCCTGAAGTACAAATGCCTGGGCAAATGGGGCTCCAACACTGGCAAGTGAAACAGAGGCTCAAGGGGTGGAGGCTTGGGCTCAGGATCAAAAGCAGAGCAGGGATTCATACTCCAGACACTCATCTCGAAGGTTTTTCCGTGATTCCTTGGGTGGTGAAGTTCATGGTCAGGATTAGGGACGTGTCCCTTTTCTTGCTGTTTGATCGCAGTGCAGTGTGGTGCTAGAGGCTTTCTGGGTAGCAAAAGAGCCCCTTTCTCCCCCAGTGCGTCCTTAGGCCTTCGAGGATGCAGTCTCCTTTCCTGCGAAGAAAGCATCTGATAAGCTGACCTAACCTCAGCACTGCCCTCTGTGAAGTGGGCATAATAATACCAGTCTCCCAGAGTTGCTGTGATGATCAAAACAAATAGAAAACGTAAGGCCCCAGACACAAAAGAATCTCCCCAACTGAGATGGAATGTCATTCCGACACACAGAAGAGCTGCGAAACTGACCGAGTTGCTTAAGTCTGAGTTAGAACATTCTAGAAAAAACACTTGATTTCCCTCAGGGGAGAGAAAACCGAATATTTAATTTCAGAAACCTGTTTAGTACCTACAGTCATATAGTGTGAAGCGAAGGGTGAAAACGAGCCCCAAAAGGACTTTTAGTGGCAACAAGATTAGAAACATTTTCTTAAACTGGACGTGGAAGGTGGTGGCCTGGGGCAGGGGAAAGGGCAGTTTCAAAGAGGATCTTCTAAAAATACCACCCATTACCAAAAAGACACAGACCACGCCTCTGCCGTGCCCCAGACAGCGCCTCAAAAGGAGAAGCTGTCTTGCCACCCACACCTCTCGCTTGGGGCCAGGGTGGCGGGGGTCCAGGGCTGCTTGGGAAAAGGCTGCAGAATGATTCTTGGCCTTGGAGCCGGGAGGGGGTTCAGGTCCCAGCTTGCCACCCCTGTCTCTGCTTTGCAGGGTCCTCACCTGCAAAGCAGGATGAACACAAATAGCCCATGTGTAGGTTAAACAAAGGGGCCAGTGTCTGAAGGTTGTGTCGCATGGTGCCCAGCACTTGGTGCGGCCCGTGAATTCTAGTTCTGTATCATGTCTGTGGATGGAGAGGAGCCGCCATGGCTGCAGGCTGGGAGGAGGGGCCCAGGCGGACAGGGTCCCTGCCCTCCCAGGGCTCTGGCTTGTATGAACCGCCCTGCACTGGGGCAGCTGAAGGGGACTCTTTCCTCTGCTGTGAGGGGATCAGGGCCATCTCTGCTTCCAGCCCCCTCTGGCATTGCAGGTGGGAAGAGTCCAGCTAAACAGGCTTTGAAGCACGTCCTAAGCCTCTATGGACACAGGAACTATGGCTCTGGGGACAGACAGAGGGCCCAGGCCAAGATCTAAGTAGACCTTGGCATGACTGGGAAACAGCTGTGGCATTGTGGGAAGATGGAGTCTTGGGCCCAAGTTCCAGCTGTGACACTCCCACGCATCACAGGCTTCTTATGAAGGTGGGTTTCCCATGCGGTGGGCACCCCTGCAGAGCCCCTCTTGGCCTTCTGATGGTCCTCAAGGTCGTCTTCATTCTCTGGGTCTAAAAGTAGACACACGGGTGCTCAGAGAGGTTAAGTGACTTGCCTAAGACATCACAGCCAGGATTCAGATTCAGGGTCTCACACAACATAACTTTGGGCGAACTGTTCCCTGAGACGTTTGCACCTCCTCCTTGGTCAAATGTCAAAACGCTCCAACCTGCTTTCTCCCTGGAGCTCTTTGGGAACCCTGGGTTGGGGGTGGAGGTGAAGTCCACTGCGAACTGCAAATCCTGGTCCTCCGAGCGCAAGTGCTTAAGAGACCCGCTTTGGCCCTAGCGTGGCAGGAAGTGGGATGCTGAGGTGTGTGCTGGGGGCTCCTCAGAGGGAACTTCCTCCTGTCCAGGTTGAGCCAGTGACACAGAACGTGGGTCCTTGGCTGATCCCTCAAAAGGCAACTTCTCTGTGGCAGTGGTGGGTGGCGTGGCCCAGGCCATCCAAGCTGCCCTGCTGGCTGGGGAGGCTTCCTTGTTCCTATGAGGTCTGTGGGGTATCGTTATGCAAAGGAACAGAAAGCTTGGCTTCACGACATGGTGACTCAGGAGGGAATGGAAGAGACAGGGTCCCTTTGTCACCCTCACAGAGGTAAGGGGCAAACTAAAATTCATAATAATAAGTAGCCATCGCATATATTGTGCTCACTGTGTATGTATCGGATATGCTTTAAGCTACAGTTCACTGAGCACTTAATGATCGCCAGTCCCCTTTCTAAGGGCTCCATGTAAATTCTTATGAGTTCACAATTATCATTATTCCCATTTTATAGATGAAGAAACCAAGGCTCCAAGTGGTTTAAAAAATGCACTTATCCAGGTTGCAGTGAGGTGGGAAGTAGGGGGTGGTCTCAGAGTCAGGCAACGTGACTCCAAAGCTCCGGCAAGCAGCCTCCTTTTCCTGCTGTCGGTGTGCTTCTCTGGCTGTGTGCTTAACCACATTTGGCAGTGGCCAAAGCTTGAGACCAAGACTGTCAGTAAGCCAGTCTTGGCAAAGCGTCAGGCTCCTCTCTGCTGTCACCTCCACCATCTTCCATCTGTGACGGGCCCTGGTCCCTATGCTTGGTCTTAGGTCTGATGAGGGTGATCATTTGAAATACTTTGCTTGGAAGGAATGAGCACTGGACTGGGAGTCTTGTGCTGGGGCATCAGGAGAAGGCTCGGCCACCGACAGGCTGTGGGTCTCATGCAAGTCATGCCCCTCTCAGGGCCTCTGTCTTCTCATCTGTAGAGTGGAGGTTGAGCAGGAGGTCCCTGGCAGACCTGATTCCCTGTAAGAAAACCAAGTGTGAGCAACTCAGAGTCACTTGAGTCGTTCATGGAATTGCTGGGGTCCGTCTGGAGCCATTGTGCCCAGATTGCCCTCATCCAGGAAGAGGCAGGTTGCCGCAATGCAGTTTTCCAGTAAGCATCACAGAGGGAGCAGGAGGTAGGCGGCTGCAGGGCATCTTCTCTTGCCACCTGGGATGAGTGCTGGCCTGTCCACATCCCAGACCCACGTGCTGGGAAAGGTGGTGCCAAGCCCGCCTCCGGCCCGAGCCCGGCTCCAAGAAAAGGATGGTGGCCCTGGCTCTGGGTTCTGCTTCCTCTGCTCATGACTGGCTGGGCCCTGGCTGCAGGCGGCTGTGTCTGGGTTTCTGTAGCCCCTGCTCAACCACCAAGAGCAGACAGCCCCCGCCTGGATCCAGGGTGGATGGAAAGGTTCATCCCTTGACGTTGGAGTCTGTGCTGAGCCTCTCCTTGGGCAGGGAAGGCTGATGGTGAGTGAAGGGAAAGCCGTCTCGGGGATGGGGTGGCGAGTTGGGGCACTTCCTCATGACCTTAACTCCGGTCTCTTCCAGGCCTGGGATGGGACACCAGGGGCTCCCTCAGCTCCTCTGTTTCAGGCCCAGCTGCCCTCTCTCCTCTTTACAGAAACTTCTGTTTCCTTCCAGCCTGTATCTGCATCCTTCTGGGGTGGGCTGGATAGGGACCCCCAAAAAGATGTGTGGATATCAAATTCCTTACCACATGTCAATGGGACCTTTGCAGATAGAATTAAGTTACAGATCTTGAAATGAAGGGGGGGTCCTAAATCCAGTGGTAAGTGTCCTTCGACGAGAAAGGCAGAGGAGACTTGAGACGCAAAGAGAAGGCGATGTGACCATCGAGGCAGAGGTTGAAGTGATGTGGCCACAGGCCACACAGCAAGGATGACCAAGTTCCAGAAGCCGGGAGAGGCCAGGGGGATCCTCCCAAGAACCTCTGGAGAGTGTGTGGCACTGCTGCACCTCAGCTTTTGACTTCTGGCCTCCAGAACTGTGAGGGAACAGAGCTCTGTTGCCTTAAGCTGCCCTGAGGGTAGGACCTTGCTACGGCAGCCCAAGGAAATGGGTACCCTGAAACAGCGATTAGGCAGGGCCATGGGGCCAGGCTGTGCTGCTTCAGATGGGCCTTCCCCAGAGTCAGTCCCTTGGAGCCTCAACTTTCTCTTCTGCAAAACAGAGACAGGAAGGCCTACTTTCCAGGTTTCGTTTTGTTTCAGCAGTTTTCTTGAGATGTAATTCACATGTCATACAATTCACCCTGGAATGTGTACAATTCAGTGGTCTTTTTAGAATTTTCACAGAGTCATGCAACTAGACCCTCAGTCAATTTCAGAACACTTTTATCACCCCCCAAGAAACTTCATTCCCCTCCACTGTTGCTCCCTATTTCCCCAAAAATCTTCCCCACGTGCTAGGCAGCCACCAATCTACTTTTTATCTGTACAGATATCTCTGGATATTTCCTATAAATGGAATCACAAACTCTGTGGCCCTTAGCATCTCACTTCATTTTCTTAGCCTAATATTTTGAGGTTCACCCATGTTGCAGCATGAATCAGTGCTTCATTCCTTTTCATGGATGAATAATATTCCATGGTATGGATAGGCCACATTTTGTTTACCTGTTTTACCTGTTGATAGACATTTCGGTTGTTTCCATATCTTGTCTATTACAAACGATGCTTCTTTGAACATCTGTGTACAAGTTTTCATGTGGACATGCCTTTTGTTTTGTTTTATGTTATGGAAACATAGTGTTTTACATATTTATGGAGTGCATGTATTTGTTACATGCATAGAATGTGTAATGATTTTGTCAAGGTATGTGGGGTTTCCACACCTAAGTCTCTTTTAATGATTAAATGATGTGGTGTCTAAAATATGTGATAGGCCCTGCATGAAATGATAATGAGAGAATCTTGAAATCTGCTTAGACTCTCTCAATGTACATATTAGGCAACTGAGGCACTCAGAGGGGCAGAGACTTGCTCAAAATCAACCAGAGCAGTAGAAAGTTGCCATTACATGCAGGTCCTGAGTTTGACTGCCTGGGTTCAAATTCTAGTTCTGCTTGGACCTGGGCTTCTTATGTAAATCACTGCACCTCTGGGGACCGTTTTCTCAGGTGTATAAGGAGGGTGGTGATAGTACCTGCCTTAGTGTTTATGTGGGGTTGAATGTGCAGCCCATGTGCCTGGCACATAGTAGGTGCTTTATAAATCTTAGCTGTATCACTCGTGGCAGGTCTCCCGACTCCCTGGTGGGAGAGCGCTCGAATCCACATGCTCCCAGTTGCTCTGTCTCATGGGCATCTTCCCGACGTGGTCCTAAGTTCCTTGGTGGAAGGGAAGGTGGCCTCCACTCCTTCTCCCTGCTTCCCCAAGCATGTAAGAGGTGCTGAACTGGCCCCTCTGCCCCTCCCACAACCCCAACTCTCAGCAGCCAGGAGTCATGTGGGTGTCCCATCTCTGCCTGTCTCTGATGACTGGGCCTATCCCCCCAGGTAGCAAGCCCCGTGCAACCATGGAGCTGGGCCCTCCGGAAGGCGGGTACCTGGAGCTTCTCAACAGCGACGCAGACCCCCTGCGCCTGTACCACTTCTACGACCAGATGGACCTGGCTGGGGAAGAGGAGATCACGCTCTGCTCAGG